TCATCTTTTTTGTGCTGTGTTGGTCTGTCCGTTTATGCACCATCCTCACCATACTGTTTTATCTGTTGACAGTTTGTAATTGTGAAGATGAAAATATAGCTGGGAATTCTTAATGCCTTCCCCCCCCCAAGGCTTTCATAGTTACTGTTGTTTATTAGCTTTCATATAAACTTTAGAATCTGTTTTTGCCTTGTTCCAGAATAATAATATTAAGAGCAATGACAACATTTATTGTCTGTTTTTAAATTTACAAAGGAGAATCTTAACAACTTGGACAGAATACCGATTGCTCTGATGTACATCTTACATATGTATTTATGTGTGTCCCATTTAGCTTATAAGCCCCTCAGGAACAGGAAAGAGCTTATTCTTCTATTCCAGTTCTTATCACCAAGTAGGGATTGGTAAATAAAAGCAGGAAGTAAAATCTGGTAGCTCTTGAAATTTGGATAAATTATCTTTACCTTTTACATTGCTCAGTCTGACAGGATTTTTAACACAGTAAATGACTACCTTTGCTCACTATATAATGCGAAATCAAAAGTAATGGTATGCCAGTTGTATTTCACCTTTACATTACTCTTCTAATTTCATTGTACTTCAAAGACCCATTTAAATAAAGTTTCGTTTTCTTTTTTTTTTTAATGTTCTATTTTGTCGGGAGACAGAGCTGAAGCCATAGTTTTGAGAATGTGATGGATTACTTGTAACAGAGTGATTTTAAGGGTCTGTTGTATGCCTGCTTGTGGTAGTAAATTCTCTCACCAGACCAGAGAAAAGTTTAAGTGCCTAAAAGTTTTTGGCCAACATTAAAATTTCCTCACAGAACAACCCTTTTTATGAAGTAAATCATGGTGCATATACCAAAAGAATCCCCATAAACTGCTTGTGCAGTATTACCCATGTGTAAGACAGGAACCTTTCTATGGTGGTAGATAAGAAGCTAAATGAGGCTCTTAAATTTGAGGATGTTGAGGTGGCTTAAATTTTAGCAGTTGCTCTGTAAAAGTTAGCTAATGTGTTCGGTTATACTTCTCTACAGTTCATGTTTTTGACTGTATAACCCAAAAACTGAAACACACTGCCATTGAGAGTCAATTCCAACTCACGGTGCTCGTTAGGACAGAGTAGAACTGCCCTATAGTGTTTCCAAGGCTGTAAATCTATACGGGGGAGCTCTGGTGGCGTTGTGCACTTAGGCATGTGACTGCTAACCAGAAGGCTAGTAGTTCAAACCCACCAGCCACTCCTTGGATGGAAGGTTGGGCAGTTTACTTCCGTAGTAATACTGCCTTGGAGAGCCAAGGAGGGGTCGCTATGAGTCAGGTCTAACACCATGGCAGTGGGTATATCTATACGGCAACAGACTGCCTTATCTTTCTCCCACAGAGTGGCTAGTGGGTTCACACTGCACACCTTTTGGTTAGCAGCTGAATGCATTTAACCACTCGACTATATAGAGCACATCACAAATGTGAAGCATAAGTAATTGATTTGTTAATAAAACTTAGGGAATCTGTCAGGATGATTCACGTATTTTAAGAGGCTTTCTCATTTGAAGAAAAAAAAAAAGTGGGAAACTGAGACACATGAGATTGTAGCTTATTCACATAGGTGGTGGCAGAGTGAATTAACCCAGCCCATTGCTCTCAATATACCAGCACACCATAGTCTGTTCTCTTTATATTGTCATTGGAAGTAATGTTATTTGCACATTAATACATTTAATGGGGGGGTTTCTCTTTCTTGGACATTGGCACCCCAAAAAACATTACAGGCTTTTTGTCCTATAAAAGTGATCATCCTGATGTGTAAAGTATATATTAATGGCTAAATTAGTGTGTTAATCAACCAAAGCAGAACCCTCTATTGAGTCTTTAACATTTTGTAGTTTTAAGAGTATATACCTTGGAAAGTAAGTTTCTCTCCACTAAAATGTAAGCTCCCCAGGGCAATGATTTTAGTCTTTTCTTGTTGCTGTTTTAGTCACTGGTATACCACAAATGCATAAAAATAATGCCTGACATATAATAGGAACTCAAAAAATTGATGTTGAATGAATGACAGAGTCAGAACCCCTATATGCAAATCTTGGCAAATCCCCATTTGTTAGCTGTGTGACCTCGGGCAAGTTAAACTCTTTCCCCGTGCCTCTGTTTTCTTACCTTTAAAATAGGGGTAATCAAACTAAACAAACCCACTGCCATCGAATCAATTCTGACTCGTAGCAACCCCCATTGGGTTTCCAAGGTTGTAAATCTTTACAGAAGTAGATTGCTTCATCATCTTCCAGCAGAGCCAGAGTGCCTATGGGTTTGAACCATCAACCTTCTGGTTAGCAGCCAAATAAATGCCCTATGTACTGCGCCACCAACATTATAGGACTGTTGTAAGATAGTAAAGTACTTGGTAGTTGGCACAATATTAATGGTTGCTGTGGCTGGTACTGAATATTCAGTTGCCTGATGGGTTGTTAGCATTTTATATTTTTTGTGATTGGTCTGTGACAAAAATCCTTGTTACTCTTGATGTAGAAAGGAAGTAAAGGAGAATTATTAGAGAGTACCATGAGGATCATATAGTCTCACTCCTTTGGGCTTCAATCACTACCTTAGCATGTACTCTGAGGCCATCTCAGGTTATCTTTAGGTACCCCAAAAAATAAGAATTACAGGTATTCATCAGATATTGTGGGTTTGGTTTTAGACTTCCACAATAAAAAGAGTATCATAAAAAGCAAGTCATGGATTTTTTAGTTTCCCACTGTATAGAAAAGTTACATTTACTCTATCCTGCAGCATAGTGTGCAACAGGATTACGAAAAAGCTTGAAATACTGTTAAGAACTATGAAAATGTGACACAAAGTGAGCATATGCTGTTGGAAAAATGATGCTAGTAGACTTGCTTGACACAGGTTTGCCTTTAATTTGGAGGCGGGGGCAGGGAGGTGTATGTGCAAAGTCCAGTAAAGCGAAGCACCGTATAACAAGGTGTGCCTATAGTATATTGAGCCATAAATCCTCATTAAACAATTCAGAGATGTGAGTTTAAGTCCATGCACCTTTCAGAACAAGTTTATCTTCTTTCATGTAGTGGTTCCTAAAATATTTGAAAACAACTCTCACATCCCCTTGACAGCTCCAAACCAAGCAGCTCTTGTGTTTACTAAGCCACTTTAGCATCCCTTGACTCTGAAAGTTGCCATTGCTAACCATCTCACAGTAGGGTAGCATTATTGTCTCTTATTGTTGATTCTAGACTTGTGATATAGCTAGAATAAGATTGGGAGGGGAGTTCGGTCGCACTTTGGTTGGTTCATCACCATCACTTAAGTCCCTCAAGTCTTTTTTTTTAATGTGTGCCAGGTACACGTTTCTCCATTTTATACCTGTTCATTTGCTCTTTCAGGTGCAAGAGTAGGAGCTTCCTTTTCTGTTAAATTTTGCTTTTATTGTTTCAGTCTTTTGAGGTTCTTTTTGATATACCCATAACTCACTGCCATCAAGTCATTTGTGATTCATAGTAACCATAGGACAGTATAGAAACCATAGGGTTTCCTGGGCTGTAATCCTTACAGGAGAAGATCTTCAGGTCTTGTCTGCCACATTGGGGCTAGTGGTTTTGAACTGCTGACTTTTCGGTTAGCAGCCAGCACTTTAGCCACAGTGCCACCAGGGCTCCATTCTTTTTGGTCTACTTGATTCCTTTTCCTTCCCAGTTTCACGTCATGCCCTGTGTCAAACAATTAGCAGTTTATTTACCATGAAATTACCTTTGTAGATAAATGTAGGTTTTTTTGTTTTTGGAAAATTGTAATCATTTTTTTTGTTTTAAAGGTTTAATATGCCTAATTCTTTTATCATTTACAGAACATTCTCTAGTAAAAACACAGTATGTTTATTAACTATTGATAGATGTTTAGGGTGTTTTCAAGTTGTTGCTATTAATAATACTGCTGCAGTATATCCTTTCAGTTTTATTTTTGTGCCCGGTAGAACTTTTATTCTCTTTCAGAATTTTCGGCTTGCACATTTATTCTTCCTGGTGAACTTTAGATTCTAGTTTCTCTGCCAATCTCATTGGTATTGCTTTGGATGTATGCTTTGTGGGCTGTTATCTTAACAATATTAGTTCTTCCCATCAAATAATGAAATTCTTCAAATATTTAAGTATAATGCACATTTTTATATGGATCTAGCATGCTTCTGTTTGGATCCCAGAATAAAACAAGTGAAAGAGATGTATAAGGGTTTTCTATTTTCTCTGAGTTTTATGAAATGGGGAACTTCATTATGAAATCTCAAACCAAAACCAAACCTACCATCATCAAGTTGATTCTGACTCATAGTGACCAAACAGGACAGAATAGAACTGTCCTGTAGGGTTTCTAAGACTGTAAGTCTTTATGGAAGCAGACTCCCTCATCTGTCTTACGTGGAGTGGCTAGTGGGTTTGAACTGCTGACCTTTTGGTTAGCAGCTGAATGCCTTAACCACTGAATCATCAGAGCTCCTCGTTAAGTCTGAAGTAGATGGTAATTTTATTCTTCGTGGAATTGTCTCTTATGACTGCCTCTGTGGTGATTTAATAGAGACCCATTTAAAGTTTTTACTGAAAGACAGTGTGGCTGTATTTTAAGGTTTTCGCTGTAGAGACTGGACAATTACTAGTTTAAATGTAAATACCATAGTAGAAGTATGATGATTAGTAATTCTTCAAGTTCATCTTTTCTTAAGTTGTCCTTAGCATTGAAATGGAATTCATTTCTAATATTTGAACTTTTTCAGTATGAATAAGGATATAAATATGTAATTTGAAGGATATTAAAAAGCATCATTGTTCAACTTGATACACATCTATTGTGGGATTAACAAAACTGTATGTTTTCAAAATCTTCTCCTAAAGTAGAAATATTTTTTAAATGTTGCTTTTTCCACTGTAAGAGAAGTTTTATTCTGTTGGATTCTGTTGGTTCTTAAGTGACTTTTTCTGTTTTCAGAGAAAGTTTCATTGTGCAAATCTGACTTCATGGCCTCACTGGCTGTATTCCTTATATGATGCTGTAAGTAACCAATTTTGTGTATCTAGGGTAGTCATGTCATGATTAAGGATTGTTAGAACAAAACATGCGCTTTCATGCTCAGTAGTGTTCCACCCACCCCCCACCCCCCAGAACTAATGGCATTAGCTACATTAGCATTTTGTTAAGAGTATAAAGGGGCAGGAATCAGAAATTTTGCTGGGTAGACTTTGCGTCGAAAGAATTTTTAGTTTTTTACACACGTTTCTGGTGGCTTCAATTTAAGGGTAAGGTATCATGAGACTTGTAAGGGTTTACTAAACAGCCCATTTGAAACTTGGAGGTGGAAAGTGCTTAACCTTTAGAAAATTAAATAAACCTAATAATACGGTTGGGCGTTTTTCTGACCAAGTGTGATTACTTAGGTCTCCTGGTCACTATTTAGTGTGCTCATTGATGTATCCATGAGTGTTTTTGCTCCTCAGAGTTTAATGCTAGGCATTGTTGCATCTTACAAACTCAGTAAAAGAGACAGTCTCCTGGAGTAAACAATCTGGGTTTTGGACACCCAGAATGAATTCAGAGCCTGATTCTATCACTTACTCTATAATTGGACACAAATTACTTCTCGAAGTATCTATAAAGGAGGGTTAATACTGCACTTGGCACATAGTAGGCATTCAGCTTTTTCAGTATGAATTAAGGATATAAATGGTAGTCATTTCTTCTAGTGAATCACCTTGCATACAAATCTATAGCCCCTAGGAAAACTGAGTAGGTTTTGAGTACATGTTGACCTACTGACCCTAAAGAAAACCTGGCAGTTGATCTCTGCCTTCCTGCAGCTTTTGAGCCATTATAAGCATACAACATATGTCTTTTTGGCATACACTGGGAAAAGCAGCACACTCTTACATAGTAAATAGGCGCCATGCAAATACCAAGTGCTAGAGCAATTTATAGGAGCTATGTCTGTGGAATGAGTCAGAAAAAGCTTCACCAAAAGCAGAAGAGGGACCAGTTCTAAGCAGGAACAGAGCATCTACCTAGGCAATGAATGAACAGCATGTGCCCCTGGGTTCCACAAATTCAGTGAGAAAGCCTGGAAAACAGGTTTAGTGCTGGTGAAGGTATTGGGGTGTCACCATTTCTGCATTAAAAAAAAAATGGACCCATTTAACCTAGACTCAGATGGGACAGTTTTATCCACACACGAAATGGCTTAAGTTGCTACTAGTGTATGGTTTCATTAAAACAAAGTTGAGAAGCTGCTAGATTTTTAAACCTCTGAACCTTATTTATTGTGGCAACTTTTATTTTAAACAAGGAAACCTTAATGGATAGAATCAAGAAACAGCTGCGTGAATGGGATGAAAATCTAAAAGAGGATTCTCTTCCATCAAATCCAATAGGTATTGAAAGTCTGTTTGTTTCCTGTGACATCTTCCCCAAACAAACTATTTGATGTGCTTTTTATTTTATAAAACCAAAAATTATTGAGGCTTAGACCTCCCTGTTTTAAGGTGCCTTTTTTAAAAGAAGCAATCCTATTTGCTTATAAGGTTTAACTACTTTTCTAATCTTCTGGCAGATAAGTGTCTAAGATGTATTTGATTTCACATTTTTAAAAGAGGGACAGTTTAGGAATAGAAATTTCTTAAGAATATATGCTTGATATCTGTCATTAATGAGTTTAAAACTGAAAAACCCACAATGTCTTTAAGATTTTTCTTACAGAGTAGCTGCCTGTCTTCCTATTGATGATGTATTAAGAATTCAGCTCCTTAAAATTGGTAGTGCTATTCAACGACTTCGCTGTGAACTAGACATCATGAACAAAGTAAGTGCCAAAGGGGCAGGGAGCTACATCTTCTGACCTACTCTAACCACACTGAGGAAGACAGAATCACCATAAATAGCCCAAGGCCTATTCCTGTGAGGCCAGACAGCCTGCCTCCCTCCAGCCCTTTCATCAACCTTGCCACCAACCATTCCTCCTGTAGCACCCCCCACCTCTCTGCTGGGTTCGATAATTCACTGCAGTGGCCACACACAACAACTCACAGATTATGAGGTTCATTAGGGAAGCCACAGGCTACAATTTAAGTTTAGGAGCACATTCAGTCTCTCTTAGCCAGCAGTCAGAGAGACTTCTGCCTCTAGGAGGGCTCTTGAGCCTTGCAGACTAACCAACCATAACATCAAAATTCTAAGCATCTGAGAGAGAAGGAACTTCCTAGAATATTGCTTTGTACCACTCTCAACAGAAATATACCAGGTGGGTAACTTTAACAATCAGGAGCTCCTTAGTTGCTCATGGCAAATTCTACCAGAGTTTACAAAGACTTATAGCTACAAAAGCCATACCAAGTAATGTACTACACTACAGTAAGTAAAATGAAAATGTTTATGACACTCATGTATAATTGTTATAGAGAACTAGACTGCCTTCTTGGGTCTAGTAGTCAAGCCATGGGGTCCCACTCTAATCATGGTTGAAAGTTTAGTGGAAACATGTAGAGTAGATAAGCTCAAATTGTTCTGCAATAAAATGAATTATTTTCCAAGTAATATTTTTTTCTTACATTTTATTTTTAGTGTACATCCCTTTGCTGTAAACAATGTCAAGAAACAGAAATAACCACCAAAAATGAAATATTCAGGTGAGACCTTTATTAATTTAATTGGATTACATTTCCACTTTCCCTATAACACTCAGCAAAATTAAATGTGAGGAATCAGCTCAGCATTCCTGACTTGGTACTCAGAACATCAGTAGCTAACATAATGAATGTGGTAAAAGTAAAGTAACTGGGCATTAATTTTGAAAATCTATACATTAGTTATCTTTTAATGATTAAGGGCCAAAATATTATATGAAAGTCATTTTATGACGAACTATGAATCAAGTACATAAGGAAACTGCTCTCTGTATTCACCTGCCCAGCATGACTTTTTCATTGCACTGACTGTCAGAGACCCTTTTAGATAAACTTGAGATCTGTACATTTTACAGTATATATGATAAAAGAGGTTTAAACAACCAGTACTACTTCCTTTTTTAGGGTCATCATGAAAAACATTCAAAATGAACAAAACAGGGATTTTTTTAACAGATTATACGTCCTGTTTTCCTTTTAAGCTTCTGCCATTATTAAAAACTAAAAGGTTAAAACACTATTTCTAAAAGTATTTCTTATACCACTTTTGTGACTTTGTGACTTTTCCACATTGGTTCTGTTTAGTTTATCGTTATGTGGTCCAATGGCAGCATATGTGAATCCTCACGGATATGTGCATGAGACGCTTACTGTGTACAAGGCTTCCAATTTGAACCTGATAGGCCGGCCTTCAACAGAGCACAGCTGGTTTCCTGGGTAATACTATGGTCATGCTTTATTAATTGGGTAGTGGGTAGCAAAGAACCAGAGGAGTCCTAAGCACTGTTGCCAGGAGTATAGACAATGAAATGAGTAATTCTATTTCAGGAGTTTTCATTCTGTTAGTGACTATAAACAGGTAGTTTTTTTTTTCTTTTGCATAGTCTCATTTACTTAAAGTTAGGGAGAAAGAAGATTGGCAGCTTAAAAGTTATCCTCCAAGTACTAGTGCTTTCTCACTTAGATGGTCCGTCCCACTGGCTCTCTAAACAACTAAGAACTACAACTAGAATCTGTTAATATAAATACTAGCTATTGTACCAAGGGAAAAAGGAAATTTAAGAAAACTAAAGCATGCAACTTTAAGAACAGAAATACTCTGATATCTAGTTGTATTTCTAGTAAAATTATCCAGCAAAATCTTAAATTCTGTTTAATTCTGTTTAACTCAGCCACCTGTTTAACTCAGCCACCAGTGCATATTTTCTTCAGGTGGTTGCTGTGCCTGACTGCAATACAAAACACAGGTGTGAGTTAGGATGGATGTAGTCTTGGCATCAGCAGTTCATATAAGGAAGTTGTAGTAATAGAATGTTTCTTTGCATTAGAGAATAAAGTTGAGCTTTAAAGACCAACACAGTACCCTACTTCATTCTCAGCCCATATTTATTCTTCTTAGTCCTTAGAATTTGGGGTAACAGGTTCAGGATCCACAAATGTGTTTCCTCAGCTGATGCCTTTCTTTAACTTTGTAGGTATGCCTGGACTATTGCCCAGTGTAGGATCTGTGCAAGCCATATCGGATGGAAATTTACTGCCACCAAAAAAGACATGTCACCTCAAAAATTTTGGGGCTTGACTCGTTCTGCTCTCTTACCCACAATTCCAGACACTGAAGATGAAGTAAGCCCAGACAAAGTAATACTTTGCTTGTAAAAACAGGGATATTGGTATTTTTATATCTGTTCTGCTTTGAAAATGTATGGCTTCTTTCTGATTCATACCTGAGCAAACAGCAACATATTTCATGGAGGGTTGCAGTTTCTTAGTAAGTTAGACTACTCTGCAGACAATGGAAAGCAGTCATTTTAGGAAGATCTATATTTTAACTTACTCGGTACCATCTCATTTAGGTCATGATGGTATCATTGAAAGTGGTAATTACTTCCTACACAAAAAGGAAAAAAAGCAAGCTCTAAAAGCTAGGGTGCCAAGCACACAAACATGTTCCTTCCTGCCTGAAAGAAGCAAGCTGGTGTATATTTTAAAAGGGCTTTGTTCCTTTTAATTATCATTAGTTTCTGAGATTCTGCTTTGTAAATCTTGAAAATAGTGAAGACTTAAAATATGCAGTTTAAGCCCCAAAATAAAGTCTTCATTTCCTTAAGTGTTAGTGAGTAGTAGTATCTGGTGTATTTGCTCAGTGTTGTTTCATACATGAAGCTTAATTTCAATTAAATATTATGGGCACAGACACAAAAAACATACCCCTTCACACAAGCTAGAAGTGGTATTTTATAGGCTATTATTTTGTTCAATGTAAATTGAAAATCTGTAAGTAAACTTTGAAAGAAAAATTATGTTAATTATGTTCTTTGTTTAAATAATGTAACATATCTAGTTATCTAGTTATAAGCAGGTAATCTAGGTGTAAGAAATAATTTTTTAAGATAAAGTTCTAGTATAGACTGATTTGCCACCTACCTACCTCTTTGCTTTTAAGGGTTTAGTTGATCCTTTCACATTTGTGTAATTAACTTTTAGTTTTACTGATATTCCTTTATCATTCAGTAGGATAGAGTCAAACTACTACAGTGTAAGGCCAAAAACGGACTGTTGGTAATGTTTGTTTTATTTATCTTTTTGTTTTTTTTTTTTTTTTACTCCAAACATGCAATGGTTTTTGATTGCCTTGATTGAAAATAACTAACAATTGAATATCATGTTGCATATTTATGTAAATGAAAAAGCAGCTGAAGAATATTGTTAATTGCTTAGGGTACATTCTGCTGCCTTACTTCATATGCCCAAGATTGTGATTTTTTAGATTGTGTTTTTTTTTTTTTCCTAAGCTCTACTTTATTACTACTGATGATAATAACCTTGTGTTTATGGTTGTTCATGCGTCTTAACACTGACCTAAAAGCTTACTAAATCTAAATGTTATATGTGCTCCAGGGAGTTGTTTCTAGCATATCTGAACGAGTTAGTGAGAAAACATTGTTTTTACCTTTGCCTACGAAGGGTATACTCAGAAATGTTCTATTACATACTGACATTGACAAATAAAATTTTCTGGTATGTTAAAAAAAAAAAAAACTGCATTAACACTATTTTAAGACCTCTGAAATAGCTAAATCTGCATTCTTTCTATATACAGGAGTAGGAGTTCTATATTGTTGTGTCTATATTTTTTTACTAGTACCTAAGTATTTCATATTTTTATAATGCATTTATTTACTCATAGCCTTTTATTTTTCCTGTTTGTTTGCCACACTTCTTCTTAGCTGGGCTTTAATAGAAATACACATTTTAAAAGTGTTTTAGAGGTCCAAAATTGCTACCACTTGCTACACAAAGGAAAACCAGTTATAAAATGGTCAGACTAGAGCACCTGAATGAAATAAGCAACTGTTTACAACAGACCTATTTACCTACTGAGAACACAAATCATTAAAAAGCACACCTACATGGAAATTGTAACATAAGTAGCCATATAATCTTTTAGTTACTGAGAATATCCCACAGAACAGTATTCTTAATATATAGGTGGCACCTGAGTACTGTCAGATACTACATAATCACATTTTCACATTTATCCTCCAATTCCAAAGGCAATGTTCATTAGAACATATCTAGTCAGAATAAATTCTCTATTTTTAAACCAAGCATAAGTTTAGTTAAGAACTGACACACAGCACAGTGATTTACCACTTTTAAGAGCAGTCTTATCTTATTCCCTACAGTATAAAAAACTCTCTACACAAAAATAAGGCCAAGTATTCTTTTTCAGTAGGAACTAATCCACAAGAAATAATAGGGTTCAACAACAGAAACCAGATTAAGAGGAGGTAGACTTTAGGAGCATTTATAGTGCTTGAAATATAGTTCACAAATAAGGCCCCTATTTCTATCAAAGAAGTCCTCAAAGCAGATTTTGTTCTGCAGTACATTCAAGTCTTTTACATCTTACCAAAGGAACCAGGGAGAGGCAGGGGGAGACCCTAGTTTTTTACAAAAAAAAAAAAAAAAAATCCACCTTTTTTTATATAGTCATTATAGTCAGCTCTCATCAGTTTCAGGTCTTCTTTATGTAACTCAAAAGTTCATCTTTTTCCATTCGGTATCCACTTTTTTTCCACTGTTCTCGCAACCGTTGTAACAGAGCTCCTATTTCCTTTCCTGAAGAAATGCCTGCTTTTCTCAGGTCATGGCCACTTACAGGAAACGGAGGAATGGACCACTGCTGCATTTCCTTCAGAAGACCACGCTCTCCTTGGTATTTCAGTAGTTCACATACACGAGTAGTTGCGTCAGCTTCCCTAGACTAAGTTCAGAATCAAATATTTAATGTTTCATCACATCCTAGAAAGCTAACTAACGATCTCAGCTTAAAATTTAAGTAGATAGTATGAAGGTTTTCATTTAAAACAAATCAACAGATTACATGATAGGTCTTACTTTTAATAAAGCAGTTCTAAAATTAGTAAAGATAATTTGTATTCTGACCAAATAATAGCCTGTTACTCATACTTCAGGCAAATGATACTCAAGCCTATTTATTAATCTACTTACATCTATAATGAAGTCCTGATAGGGTTTCAGTGGTTCCGAACTATCAGTTGCTTTAATTAAATCTTTCCTGTTTTTAACTATAAATAAGCCAAGGTTCTTCTCTTCTTTTGAAATCTTCAATCTCAAATCCAATTTTGTGATATCATCCTGTACTTTGAATAAGGAGGCCAAGAGAGTCATCGGTTTTGGTGAAAAACCGTCAACATTTTTACTGACTTTGTTAAATTCTTCTAAATTTGCATTGACAGGTAAACCTGTTGGGATACAAACATTTTTCACAAGCTTTCATAGTGGATATATTTAATAAAAAAAATTCCCAATCAAACCATCATTGTTAGGATATAGAAATACCTTATCAATAAGAACTCATAGTCTAATAACATTAGTTCTGTAAGACTAAGTCTAATGCTTTATCTTTTTCTAATGCTTTATCTTTTAAGTGAACCACTGGTATACTGTTGTGATCCTGTCTCATGTCACTCTCTAAAACCTCAGGAAAGGCCCTGAAACATTCTGCCATTAACAATCTAAATCAGGAAGTTCAGGGGCAGCACTGATGGTAGTCTCACATTCACAAGAAATACTGTTTTCCAACTATAAACCACTGATTTCATACACACACACCCCCATTCATTAATCTTACATCTTTGCACAGACAGTTTGTGCTCTACTAACCTAAAGGTTGGTGGGTTGAACCCACCCAGTGGCACCATTAAGAAAGGTCTGGAGATCTGCTTCCACAAAGATTATTGTTAGGTGTCTAGTCACTTCCAACTCTTAACCCCATGTACAACAGAATGAAACACTACCTGGTCTTGTGCCATCCTCACAATCATCACAGCCAGTGTCAATCATCTGTAATCCATAAAGATTACAGCCAGGAAAACCCTATGAAGCAGTTTTCCTTTAACACACGAGGTCACCATGACTTGGAATCAATTAAACAGCAACAGGTTTTGAGTATTTACAATATACTCAAATTTCCTGAAGTGTGATAAATCATACAATCCCACAGTTCTCTAAATATTGTAACACTGAATAATTTCTACACATAAGTCACTCTTCTAAGTACTTTGCATGTATTAACTCATTGAATCCTCTTAGGCATCTTACTAGACAGATACTATTATTTTAATCCCCCTTTCTTAGATTCAGAAATAAAAGTTTAAAATGACTCCAGTCACAAAGACTGAGTCTCATTCAAACCTAGGTCTAATTCGAGAGCCTACTCAGTGTGCTGCCTTGGATATATTCCATACCCATGACAAAACTGTCCTACCTGACCCCCAAGTTGATCTTACTTTAAAATATTCCATTTCTCCCTTACAAACTTCTGAACTATAGTAGTCGTTTTTCCTTATGAATCTGTAAACTAGATGTTTCACTGCCGAAAATTCAGGCTTTTTACTTCATGGTCTCACCTATGTAAGGAGCCACATCAAGATCATAGATAAGATGAATCAAGTGATTTACATGGTTTCCAACAAGAATTTTTTTCAATTCCACCCAAATCCTTTCTCCCGATATTCCAGCCAAGCATTTTGCATTTTCTGCTATTGCTTCCAAAGTTTCAGGATCGTGGTCACCAGGTTCCTCTACAATTCTCCCATAAAACCTGCAAGACAAAAGTCACATAGTATTACATCTATATTGGCCATTATCACCACAAAAATGTATTTCTCATTTTTACTGGTAGAGCTTTTAATCAGACTAAGTAACAGGATTAGTAAGGTCAAAGAGGGACTTTAGAAGTCATCTGGTCACTTTTCCTTTTTTTCCCCCAAAGATGAGAAAATCAAGATACAATAAAAAATAAGTAACCTATCTAAGGTTAGTGCCAACTAGAACCCTAGGGTCTCTTGATGACCAGTTTTTGGTTCTCCCCATCAAAACGTGTAATTTCTGGGAGAAATAACTATCTTACTTTACATGTCTCAAAATGCATGATGAGTAACGGTGGTTGGGTAAGGAAGCTAAGTCAAGAATACTAGACAGATTTCGATGTGAATTCATTATTTTATGTGAAGTGTTAAAAAATATTTAATTACAAAACATCTCACTATTTGTGTATCATCTTACTCTTTTCTTGCATTAGTATTACCACCACCAATGCATGTGAATACCATGTATAACCGATGACATGGTACAAAACCAAGGAGAGCTAAACTAAGAAAATAGTAACTCATGTTGGATTTTTATTTTGTCTATGAAGCTATCCAGCTTCACATTAGGAATAAAAGAGCTAGTTAAAAGATCATCAGTTTTGCCCAAAAAGGTGGCATACTTTTTTTTAACAAAGAACTCAATCACAGGCAGACTTCATCAACTCTCCTAATCTGGGTTTTCCAAATGAAAAAACAGAAGAAAAAAAAAAAGGAAATTTTTGACTATTTTGTTCACTGTTGTATTCTCCGCAAGTAGAATAATCCTGGCACACAAAAGGCACACCATAAATATCCACTGAAAACATTTTAGAATGTCCAGCTCAAAAATATCCATGTTCACATTAGTTATCTATAATGTTAATGATGTGATAGTATTAATGGCACAAATAAAACAAAATTTAACAAAATAAATGGGATTAAACTTGTTTTCAAAGTTTTTTTTTCTACTGACCTATAATATGAAAACTTACATTCTCATGCTTTTGAGTTAAGTATTTAAAGTAAGGCTAAAATCTAGTTGTAGACACACTGAAGCTTATTTCATGGAATCTCAGAATCGGAAGCTTTACTGGTCATCTACTCTACCCCTCATGTTTTGTTGTTATGTGCTCCTTATACCCTTTAAAATTCATTTCACAATGATCTAATGACAATAACTGTGACTAAGTTTTGGTGTGTTCTATTATTTGTAGTGAGAGATTACAGAATATTCTGCAGAGTGATCGCAACTAGTGAAAAATCCAGTATTACTACACATAAACTACCCACAGTTAGAATAGTTTTTTTAAAAAAATATGGAACTTAAATAAAATCACTGCTGCCCACAAAACCCTCCAAATACTTCTTGTGTACAAAATTCATCCAAGTTTTAATACTTGATTTCTCAAAGGTCATATCATAGATTATCTATACACCATTATTTTATGAGGTGTCATAGATTTTCTTGTGACCACCCCACGCGTTAAGCCTTATAGAAGCAGAAATGTTCAACCGTGACTCTGATCCCACCACTCAGCACATGATTGGTCTCCAGTTAGCACTCAAACATCTGTGTAGTGGAAGAGGAAATAGTCTATCAAAAACAAACAAAAAAATGATTTAAAGCTGAATTATGTAAAAGATTATCATTAACAACAACAACAAAGTAACTTGCTGCTGTTGAAATATGTGCATATTTTGGCAGTATCGTCTAGGTAATAGCTCATTCATAAGTTAACAGGCTGCCAAGTCTCCGCTGGAGACATCTGGAATGTCACCATCTTATATACTGTCCTGTGCATTTATTTCACATTACTAGAACTGTGCTCAAGGGATGACATTATTAACACTTGTAATTTTTAAAAATTCTTACCTGAAATATCTTAAAATTCGAAGATAATCTTCTTGTATTCTCTGTTTAGCATGTCCAACAAATCGTACCTTCTTATTTTTCAAATCTTCATAACCACTAAAGTAGTCAAATAAGGTACCATCAAAACCTAATCATTAAAGAAAGGGAAACTCGCTGTTAGCAAATAAGGATTGGAAAACCCAAGAAAATCAACGGAAAACTATCACAAACAAAATTCAGCAAGGTGAAGAGTTATCAAATTGAAATATAAACATTAAAATCATTCAACACACATCAACTATCACATGGAAGATACAATGCAATCAATCAAGAACTACATTTATAATGACAATTATAAAAGGTAATGCACACCACAAGAATATGCAAGACCTATATGAAGAGGTTCAACCTTTTAGCCATAAGAAATACAATCCTGAGATGGCATTTTTACCTTTCTATGAAAATGGCAGGTACAAATGTCTGTTAACAATGTTAGCGAGGGTATGGTGAAACAAGCACTCCTGTTCATTGCAGTTGGATAGACTTCATTATGTAATTTTGTGACTTTGTAAACTGAAATATCCCCACTGTAATATGCTGAACATGTGCTGAACAACAACAAAGTGAAAAAACAATTACTTTATTTTCATATAGGCATATAAAACTTTAGTGATCAGCTGCATGAACAAGTCACCCATTTGCCAAGGACCTTTCTGGTTTTTAGTTCACAAACTGTACATCTCAGGAAAGATCACAGTCCCAGCAAACCAAGACAGCTGGTCACCCCATGTACCAACCAAAAAAAAAAAAAAAAGAGAGAGAAACCTTTCAAGCAACTACAGGATCCATTCAACAATCCAAATGAGGTCAATGTTCCTATGAGGTGCTTTACTCTGTACCAGCACAGAAAAGAGGCACTCCCATTACACTCAAGAAAAAGAAAAGAAGAGTTGCCATCAAGTTGATTCCTAGTCATGGCAACCCCGTGTGTGGTGTTCATAGGGTTTTCAGTGGCTGTGACCTTTCGAAAGTAGATGGCCAAACCTTTCACCTGAGGCAAGTTAACTGTAGATTAAATAGCAATTTCTACTTCTTCACTGTTGGGAAGATTAAATTTATGTAATGTGCTTAGAACACAGTGCCTGGCACATTGTAAGATTCAGTAAATGTTAAAAAACAGTAGTACCAATAAGAATAGCTTTTATTTTCATCAAATAGTATCTTGAAAAGGAGTATTTGTTTTAGTTAACTATGCTTAAGATAGCTACTTGTGAAAGATTCCATACACTGCGCTAGTTGGCCTAATTTAAGTAAGAACAATGTAAAAAGAAGTAACACTAGGGCTTTGACCACATAATTAACAGACATGCCACCAACTGGGCTTCCTCTGTCCATAGATCACTTTGGAGTCAAATATTCAAATCACGACTTTATGTGACTTGAGCTAATTACCTAACCTAAGTCTCAGTTTCCTCATCTGGCAATTAAGTTTAATACCCACTTTATGAAGTTTTTCTAAAGGTTAACTGAGACAAAGTATATCAAGTGCCCAATGATGTGCCTAAAGGAAGTGTCACCCTTTCACCATTACCACTGCCACCAAGAGGTGGTAACAGTGGACGTTTCATCTCTCTCTTTTCTAATCTAAAATGTTAAACATAAAAGGATTATTTAAAGTGCAAAAAATAATGCATCAAAAATGTACCAGAGGCGCAGTAGTGGTTCAGTTGTAGAAGTCTTACCTTCTATGGAGAAGACCTAGGTTTGATTCCCAGGAAATACACGTCCATGCACAACCACCACCCATCTATATCAGTGGAGGCTTACGTATTGTTACAATGCTGAACAGGTTTCAGCAGAACATCTAGACTAAGATAGACTAGGAGGTAGGGCCTGGTGATCTACTTCCAGAAACCTTATGGGTCACAACGGTCTGATCTGCAGTTGATCATGGTGATGGCACAGGACGGGGCAGCAGTACACTGCACTGTGCGCACTGTGCATGGGGTCACCATTAGTTGAGGGCTAACTCAACTGCACCTCACAACAGTGTACCGAAACACTAACCTATTCACATCTGCCCTCACTGTGACTCTCATCGCTTTCAATAACCAAAAGTTAAATTGAAATGATGAGTAAGTTTCCCCTTGCATGCCTACTCTGATTATTGGTATTTCCTGAAGTACAATGCTATAAAAGAATTTTAGGTTTTGTCTGGCTCAGCAGAAAAAAGGTAAAGTCATTCACTGATGTGCACCATGGGCACCAGAAGCAAGGAGAGTAGGATATGCATGCCACTTCATCAGCAAAGAGCAAAAAGACACAGTATGTTTGCATGTATGTGTGTATACACATGCATTCTACACACATGCATTCTTATCTGAAATGTTAACACTGTTTAGATTAGTAACTTGACTAAATGTGTACATGTCCCTGGCACCATTCAAAGCATTTACTCCCTTAATTATTACTGACTCCTTTAATCCTCAAAAAAGGCCTACAAAGGAAGCTAACATTAATATCCTCATTTTATGGCTAGTAAGTAAGGGAATCAGAATCTGAACCTAGGTATTCCAGTTCCAGTGTTAATTCTGTAAACCAATATGCTACAGTGTCTCTCAGGATAAATTTATGTAACCTCTCAAGTTGGAGAACATTTCTAGAATGTAAGTTTCACTTGAAAAGAAGACTTCCTAGTAGAGTGAATGAAAACAGTAGTTTATCTCCACATATTACCTAAAAACATAGAATTGATAGTGAGATCCCTGCGCTCAGCATCTTTCTGCCAGTCAGTTGTGAATTCTACCTCAGCATGCCTTCCATCTGTGACGACATCAATCCGTAGTGTGGTAATTTCAAAATTTTCTTCATGAAGCTGCAAAATAAGTTTTTTTTTTTCTTTTTACTTAGTTTTTAGTATCAATGAATGGAATGAAAAGTTTGTCTCATTAAAGTATAGTACTATAAGCCCTGACAATTAGGTATCTTATTTCTTTTTAAAGTCAATTAATGTACATATACCTTGAGACAGAAAGAAATGAAATATTCAAAGATAACTCCAAAGAATAACATTAAAAAATAACAATAATACCTACCCTAATAAAAAAGCTGAGCTTGACAGAGATGTATAAAACTAGCAAATCTGACACCATGATATGGTATATGGGTGGGAGAAAGCCCTTAACACAGTATATTCAGGTTCTCTAATTTCAAATCAAGCTACTCCTGGCAGAAATATTTTATAATAGCTCTAGTTTGCAAAGAGCTACATATCAATTTATGGAATAAATAACTTGAGCAAAACACTGACAGAGGAATAACTGAACAGATCCTGTAACTCCTTGCAAGTAATCAGTGAGGTTAAACTAGGTCTCCATATACCTTGGGAAGAGAGATTATCTCCATCTGGGAAAAAAGGAGGAGCTTTATGACAGAGTGGCATCTGAATTGTAAGCCTTAAAAGATAACTCGGATTTGTACACACAGATACAGGAAGAACAACATTTCAAGGAAAAAAAAAAAACAACAACAAGATGGTCAGAGGCACAGTGGAAACAGAGGGTTATATGTAATAGAGAAAGTATGCCCAAGCAATATCACATTTAAGCATTTAGGGGTAGACAGCATAGTGTTGTGGATGCCAAGATGGAGTCTGGACTGTCTTCATTGGGAAGTGAAAGTCTGAAAAGGAATGAAGGGAGACTGGACAGTGCAGAATTTTGTTCTACAATTCCTCTAAACTCCACATATACTCTCCCAACGAACAAGCTAGCTGTCACTATAGAATTCTACAACTCAGACATAAGACACCAAGTTACCACTAAACTCAAGGGGTAAGGAAAGTGTTGTGAAATAGGAAAAACTTTCAAAGTTATTATTAGAAGCACTTAGATCCCCAAAAGTCCTCCCTTACTGAGAATGCAAACTAGAGATTTACCGTCTACAAAGGTTGAACTAAAAGCTATGACTTGGGGTACCAGACATAGGTGGGCATATGAGTGAAGCACCTCAATGATACCAAGATTGCATGACACGTGCTCATTTTTCTATCTGGCTTTCAAAATGCTACTTACCTACTCTTACTCCCTGGCATAATCCTTTCTATTCCTCTCACTGAAGAGTCCTACTGACAATGACATTGGAGTCTCACAGCAAAGCTGCAATAAAATCCTCAAGTCACTATGCTAAGTAGAGTACCACCCAAATATTAAGAGAAAGCCAAAGAACTGCCATAATTTAGGAAAAGCCTACAGAAGAGAGAAAAAGCTCAGAGGAAAGAGAAATAAGACATTATATCTGAAATAAGAGTAAGAAGCTTTTAAAAGTAATATTCTGTGAAAGAAAAATAGCTTAAAAATTTAAAAGCAGAAATTACAAATGCAACAGAATGGTTGGAAGATCAACATAAAGTACTCTTATGGAAATAAAAGACATGAGGTAAGAAAACAGGATACAAGAAACTAAAGGATCAGTCCCAGTGGTCAAAAATGCAAATTATGGGAGTTTCCAATGGAGAAGACATTTAACAAAAGGGATGAAATCATGAATGAAATGTAAGAGGGCCCCCTAACTACCCAGCACAATAAATGAAAAATAAATCCAAACCAAGGTACACGATTTTTAAATTAAAAACACTAAAGATAAGAAAATGCCTAAGGCACTTGATTGCTAACCAAAAAGCTGGTGGTTCAAACCCACCAACCACTCCTCGGAAGGAAGGTTGGGCAATCTACTTCCGTAGTGATACCCTCTCGGAAACCCAAGGCGGGGTCGCTATGAGTCAACAGCACATAACAACAACAACACAACAGAGATAAGAAAAAGAAACCCTAGTGACACAGTGGTTAAGAATTTTTTCTGCTAACCAGAAAATCCATGGTTCGAACCCACCAGCTTCTCTATGAGAGAAAGATGTGGCAGTCTACTTCTGTAAAGATTTACAGGGTAAAACAGCCACTGAGGAAGTTCTATTCTGTCCTATGTTTTTGTTGTTATGTGCTGTCAAGTCGGACCCAACTCACAGCGACCCTTCCTTGGGTTTCCAAGGCAGTATCACTACGGAAGTAGATTGTCCCATCTTCCTTCCGAGGAGTGGCTGGTGGGTTTGAACCACCAGCCTCCTTTAAATTTCTAACTGAAAACTATTCCCAGCCTAGAATTCCATAGCCAAATCAAACACGTGTGAAGGTAAGTATTTTCTGATATCCAACGCTTCAAAAATTACACCTCCTCATGCACTCTTCACAAGGAGTTTTGATAACGTAGTGGGTAAGGCATTGGGATGCTAACCAGAAGGTTGGAGGTTCAAACCCATTGAGTTTCTTTACAAGAGAAGATGAGGTAATACTTCTATAAATATTTACAGCCCTGGAAACCCAATGGCGGTTGCTATAAGTTGGTATTGACTCGATGGCAGTGGATTTGGTTTGGTTTTGGATGCACTCTTCATAGGAAGCTGGTGGTAGTTTTTGGATTATTAAAAGAAAGGTCTAAACCAAGGAAGAATACCACATAGGATCCAGAAAACAGGACTTCTATCAAGGGGAGGCCAAGGAAATCATCAGGATTTGAGGAAAATCCCAGAATGAGGGCTTAGAGCAGACCTATAAAGCAAACAGTCCAGGTTGAAGTGGAAGGACAAAGCATACCAGGGGAGAGGGCTCATAAAACAAGGGAACTGAAACATGATGTGTTTAACTCCACTAAGAAAAGTTTTCCAGTTCTGGCACAGAGTACAGAATGATTTAGTGGTTCATGAAAAATCAGGGAAAAGAAAATTGTTATTAACTACAGAGAAAACAAAAAACATGCCACAGGAAAAAATGTAATCATAGCACATCACACAATCCAGCTATAAACAATACAAAGTCATAAATGTAAACTCAGAAGCCTGATTTAACCAAAAATTATGATCTCAATATACTGGGAATATGAGGGAAGCAGTGTTGTTGAGGAGAGCTGTGGAAAGAAAACTCAATCATCTTCCCTACTAGGAAGGCTATAAATAACATCTTAAAACTAGGAAAATTTTAAAAAACTGCGGCATACAAAGGCTTTTTTCAGAAATATGAAGGGAATAGGTACAAGAATTAGTTGAAAGTGGTTGCAACAAAGGAGAAGGAATCAGGATTTTTTTTAGGGGGTGGAAAAGACTTTTTTTTATTAGCCTGTTTATTTGCTTTCTAACTAGAAAAAAAATTAAATTTAAAATATTACCAAAGAAGAAGTATAATTCATTATAGTGTCAAACATTCACTCACCCTGGCAGTGATTGTTCCGTGTTTTTCTCCTTTGTTATTGATCATACGAATCCCAGCAGCCTGAAACATCTCCTTCATTTGAGCAGGGGTGGCCGTTGTTGCAAAATCCACATCTTGAGGCTTTACTCCATTTAATAAATCCCTTACTGCTCCTCCTGCTATTCTTAACTCATGATTTTCTTTGACAAATAATTCTGGGATGAGAGAAGGAAGATTTTTATTTCAGTGTGTTTAAGAAACACAGACATACAAAGTTTTTCAATCTATTAGAGATATTCATGATCATTTAGCTTCCATATGAAAAGCAACAACATGGCCCAAACAAGGGAAGTGACTTGATTACATTTGAATACCTCTAAGAATTGTGGGGAAGCAGGCAACCTGTTGAATTTTTCTTTGCAGATTCGGAAGGCAATTCAGAATTCCACAATGGCCTCAATGTCATCAATATAATTTGAATTATTTCCAAAAAGTAAATAAACAATTCTGCTTTCTTTTTCCAGGCTTACTAGCATACCTTAAATATGGCGTATTCTTGAAAGTATTTCTCTGTGTATAGATGTTGAGGTAATGCGCTCATGCAAACTTTAAAACCATAGAGTACAGACAACATTTGTCCATCACATTATTCATGAAAAGAATCAGGGCTAAGAATTCTTGAAGAAATACTCTGCATATGATGTTTAAACAGCAACTCACATATCTGCTCTAAGTGAGTTCATATGAGGACTGGAACTATAAGGACCTCAGCACAGGAGACCCATAGCTGACTCCTCTGTAGTTTCAGAGCAGGGCAAAGTCTACAATAACTATACCCATATGACAAAAGGGCACAATCTAGACTAGTGACAAAGGCATCCAGGAACTGGCATCCAGGAGCTGGCCTGATAGTGCCAGCTAAGCCTTGATGTTGCTACGAGTTGGCATGGCACTCAAAGCTAGAACATCAACATCAGTCAAGGCCATCAGTCTGACCACGATGGATCAAGACAAAAATAAGACCATTCCATAATCACTGTTAGAACACAAAACATGAGCACTGCCCAAGCCACCAAAAAATTACCTTACCATGGCTAATGTGAGTGACTGCTGCTTCCTTAAGCAACAGCTTCAGCCTTGATCTAGTCTTCCCTTCTTCTAGATAAGCGTATTAAGATACCCATTCCTAGAATTACCCTCACTTATTGACAGCATCCAATCCACAGCAAAGCCCCTGCTTCCTTAACCAAAACCAAACTCAATGCTGTCAAGTTGGGTCCGACACATAGGAACCCCTCCGTAGGTTTCTGAGGCGGTATCACTACAGAAGTATATTGCCCAACCTTCCTTCCAATGAGTGGCTGGTGGGTTTGAACTGCCAGCCTTCTGGTTAGCAGTCAACTGGCTTAGGCACTATGCCACCAGAGCTTCTCCTGCTTCCTTAAATCCTCCTCAAAACCACTTAGCACAACTCTACATCCTGTAAGTCCCATTTACCAGGTCCCTGGGTGGCGCAAACACTGTGCTCAACTACTAACCTTTTTAAAAGTCAAAGGTTTGAACCCACCTATCAGTGCCATGGAGAAAAGCCTGGCTGTCAGCTAAGAAAACCCCGCTG